CTCCTCCCCTCCTCCTCCTCCTCCTCCTCCTCCTCCTCCTCCGCTCTCCTCCTCCTTCCTCCTCCCCTCTTCTCCCCCGCCTTCCCTCCTCCTCCGCCTCCTCCTCTCCTCTCCTCCCTCCTCCCCCTCCTCCTCCCCCTCCTCTCTCTCCTCCTTCTTTCCTCTCCTCCTCCTTCTTGCCTCCTCCTCCTCCTCCTCCCCTCCTCCTCCCTTTCCTCCTCCTCCTCCTCCCCCCCCTCCCCCTCCTCCCCTCCTCCTCCTCCTCCTCCTCCTCCTCTCCTTTCCTCCTCCTCCTCCTCCTCCTCCTCAGAAGGCCTTCTCAGAGGGCGGCGGGACTTCTCAGAAGCCCTCGCGCAGTCTGCGGAGCTGTCGTTTGTGTCTTCGGGGAAGGCCCAGAGAACATGTTTCAGAAGGCCGGGGGACTTCCGAGCCTCCTGAGAAGGCCCGCCACCTCTCATGTCCCCCCCACGGGCGCGCCGCCCGGCGGCTGGCTCTGCCGCCGCCATGCCGATGTCCCTGCGAGGTGCTACGGCCACCCCGCATGATAAGAGGGATGGGCACCCTTCCCAAGGGTACCCTTGCATCCTTGCCTTCTCGGTCCATCCTGGGTCACTTCCGTCGGCCGCGCTCCGCTCGAGAGGCTTCGACATGGGCGTCCAGGGCCCTTGCACCCTCATCGCGCATCGTTGTGATACGGGCCGACTGTACTCGGCTTCCCAGTCCTGGTCCACTATGCAGCTGCACGCGCTCGCCCTTCCTGCTTCGGGCCTCCTCTGGACTTGGCGAGCGCGAAGGGCAGGCACGCGAGCGCTGCCGCCCACCGCCCCCACAGCGGCGCCTGCAGAACGCGTCCCGGGAGGCCTTCGGGGCGAAGGCCCTCCTCCTCCTCTTCCTCCGCCTCCTCCTCCTCGTCCCTTCCTCCTCCTCCTCCTCCTCCTCCTTCCTCCTCCTCCTCCTCCTCCTCCTCCTTCCTCCTCCTCCTCCTCCTCCCCTCCTCCTCCTCCTCCCCTCTTCCTTCCTCCTCCTCCTTCTCCTCCTTCTCCTCCTCCTCCTCCTCGTCCTCCTCCCCTCCTTCCTATCTCTCCTTCCTCACTCCTCCTCCTCTCCTCCTCCTCCGCCTCCTCTTCCTCTCGTCCTCCTCTTCCTCCTCCTACCCCCCAGCCTCCTCCTCCTCCTGCCTCTCCTCCTCCTCCTCCTCTCCTCCTCCTCCTCCGCCTCCTCCTCCTCCTCCTCTCCTCTCCTCCCTCTCCTCCTCGTCCTATTATTTCTTTCTCCTCCTTCTCTCTTCCTCCTTCTCCTCTCCTTCTCACTCCGTGCTCATCCACTGCTCCTCCTCCTCCTCCTCCTCCTCCTCCTCCTCCTCCTCCTTCCTGCACCTCCCTGCTCCTCCTTCTCCTCCTCCTTCTCCTCCTCCTCGTCCTCCTCCTCCTCCTCCTCCTTGTGTCGGTGTCGGGCCGCATGGTGCTCTCTTGCTTGAGCCATGTCGTCCTACGGCCTCCACGGGTTTCTGTGGGTGCTGCCGAGCACAGCCCTCTTGAGGTACACGATCTATTTCCTGAACTGGCTCCCCACCACGGCTGCGACACCTGTGAAGGTTTGGGCGGCCGCGTCTCATTGGCCCGCGGCGAAGTTCACGCTTGAGGCGCGGGAGAAGTCTTTCGAACGTCTTCGAGGTGTTGCTGATCGGCTCGTAGGTTCCGAGCCCTTCTTGGCATGCGAACGAGGCGCTCGCTCAGAGGTGCAACGTGCCTGTGGCGGGCAGGCCGTCGCATGATCACGCTCGACCCCGTCAAGAACGACATCTCGCGGTGTGTCTCAGATCCGTTTATAAGGTCGGCGCCTGGATCAGGCCCCGGCCACCGCGAGAGGAGGAGGAGGAGGAGGAGGAGGAGGAGGAGGAGGAGGAGGAGGAGGAGGAGGAGGAGGAGGGAGAGGAGGAGGAGGAGAGGAGGAGGAGGAGGAGGAGGAGGAGAAAGGGAGGAGGAGGAGGAGGAGGAGGAGGAGGAGGAGGAGGAGGAGGAGGGAGAAAGGGGAGGAGGAGGAGGAGGAGGAGGAGGAGGAGGAGGAGGAGGAGGAGGAGGAGGAGGAGGAGGAGGAGCAGGAGGCCCCGGCCACCGCGAGAGGCGAGATGCGGTGCGACGCGTGGTGCGGCCGAGTGGGGAGCGACCCGGGGTGGGGGCTCGCCGCTCCCCTGGAGTGCGGTCCGCGCCCGAGGGGCCCCTCTCGCGCGAGGTGCCCTCGGGGGCGCGGGCGGCGGCCGCGCGGTCGCGGCCCGCAGGCCCCGACGGGGGGCGCGCGAGACCCAGACCGTGGCCCGGTCATAGTGCAGACGTGGTCTGGGCGTGCGTGCTCAGACCTCCGACGTCGTGACTGTTCTGCACGACGTCGGCCGCCAGAGGTCTGGACCCCTGCCCTGGGACCGGCTGCTCATCCTGAGCCGTTTTTCGACGGTCCCGAGGAGGAGGAGGAGTAGGAGGAGGAGGAGAGGAGGAGGAGGAGGAGGAGAGGAGGAGTAGCAGGAGATGGAGGAGAGAGGAGGAGGAGGGAGGAGGAGGAGGAGGAGGAGGAGGAGGAGGGGGAGGAGGAGGAGGAGGAGGAGGAGGAGGAGGAGGAGGAGGAGGAGGAGGAGGAGGAGGAGGAAGAGGAGCAGGAGGAGGCCAAACAAACGAGAGGTCCCCCGTCGTGAGCTCTTCCACGACGTGCGGAGGTCAGGGCGGCGGCATCCGGGCTCTGCGCCGCGGAGCCAAAAAAGAGCGAAGCTGCGCCTCGGACCCTCCCCAGCCGCAGGGGCAGATCGCACAAGCGGAACCCTCCCCAGACCTCCGACGTCGTGATTTTTTCGCAACGTCGACCCCCAGAGGTCTGGACCCCTTCCCCGGGACCGGTTCTTCGTCCTGAGTCGTTGTTTGACGCTCCCGAGGCCCGGTGAGGGCCCCCGGAGGCCGAATATAGCGAAAGACCTCCCGTCGTGATTTTTTCACGACGCCACGAGGTCTGGGGAGAGAGCGCTCTGCCCGCGCGAGCTGCCCGAGGGGGCACGGGCGGCGCCGGGCCGCAGAGAGCAGCCCCGCGCGGAGGGGGGGCACCCAGACCCCCTCGCGCCGTGAAAAAGTCGCGGCGGGAGGTTTCTCGCCACTTTCGGCCTCTGGGGGCCCTTCCCGGGCCTCGGGGCCGTCAAAAAACGACTCAGGATGCAAAACCTGGCCCGTCGTGAAAAAGTCGCGACGGGAGGTTTTTCGCCACTTTTGGCCTCTGGGGGTCCTTCCCGGGCCTCGGGGCCGTCCAAAAACGACTCAGGATGCAAAACCGGGCCCGGGGAAGGGGTCCAGACCTCTGGGCCCGGGGTCGACGTTGCGAAAAAATCACGACGTCGGGGGTCTGGGTATATGGGGGAGGGGGGAGGGCCCCTCAGGAGCACCCCTGCTTCTCAGAGAGCGCGGGCCTTAGCCCCCCCCTGAGAGCCGACGCTTCCAGAGAATGGGAGCAGGCGGACGTTGGCCGTTTTCGGCCTCGGGGGGCCCCTCGCCGGGCCTCGGGGGCGTCAAACATCGACTCGGGACGAAAAACCGGCCCCGGGGAAGTGGTGCGGACCTCCGGGGCCCACGCTCCAAGGAAACTGGAGCAGCTGGATGTCCGGGCCTATAGATGCAAGGCCCGCGCCTTCCAAGAAGCCCTTGCCTGTGAGGCCCGCGCCTTCCAGGAAGCAGCCCCCTGCCAACCCGGACCCCCGACGTCGTGATTTCTTCAAAACGTCGACCCCCAGGGAGGTCTGGACCCTTTCCCCGGGGCCAGTTTTGCATCCCGAGTCGTTTTCTGACGGTCCCGAGGCCCGGGAAGGGCCCCCCAGGGCCGAACATCGCTAACAACCTCCCGTCGTGATTTTTGTCACAGCGCGAGGAGGTCTGGGAATGAACCCCTCCCCCAGGCCCAGCCGCGGCGAGGGGGAGCTGGACAGTGTGGCCGCGCCTGCGCGGCACCGAGGCCGCGAGCGAGCGCGCGAGCGTTGGGTGTGCCCCAGGGTCAGAGATCGAGGAGAACTGTAGGATGGCCCAAATGGGTGAGGACACTTGGGTTTGCACTTGGGTTTTCGGAACAGTAGGTGACGACACTCAGGTTTTCACTTCGGTTTTCGGACCACGGGATGACGATAGTACGAAGTGTCGTCGTGCGAAGGTCGGACGATTTTCGCGTCAACTCCAGCTTTCGCCTCAAATCCTCCTCAACTCTCTCCTTCATCTTTCTCACCTCCTCATATACTCCGCGTTCCTCCCCCCCTTAGGTAAACAACCTAAAACAATTCTTGCATGGCATGGGGGAAAACGGGATTACGAGCAAGGGGGCGGGGGGAAACCGTGGATACATAAACGCAGGACGGACAGGAAGAACAATGAATAGTAGTAGAGGAAAGAGGAAGAGGAGGCAGATGAGGATTTCTAAGCGAGCTCACAGATGAGGTCAAAGCTGCAGGCGGGAACACATTACTAGAATCCGTGTGTGTGTGTGTGCGTGTGAGTGTGGGTCTGAGTGTGTTCTCCGCAACCGTGTTGCTCAGCGTTTCGCTTGCCCTTTCAATTACAACCGCTGATCATTGATGATCTCGCTGATAGCTGTGCTCTTCCATATCACCGTCGCCAGCGCGAACAGCTGCGACTCCATCGGCTGCGCCAGCGCCGATTCCATATTCAACGTCGGCAGCGCCAGCTCCGACATCTTCACGCTCGTCGGCGCCAGCGCCGACCTCTCCATATTCAGCGTCGGCCGCGCCATCGCCGACCTTTCCATATTCAACGTCGGCAGCGCCAGCTCCGACTTCGCGTTCGTCAGCGCCAGCGCCGACCTCTCCATATTCAACGTGGGCAGCGCCAGCTCCGACCTCACCGTCGCCAGCGCCAGCTCCGACTTCGAGTTCAACGGCAGTGCCAGCGCCGACTACACCATCTTCGGAGGCGATTTCGGCAGCAAGCGCACGGACACATTCAACCTCGGCAGCGCGAGCTCAGACTTCATCGATTTCGGCAGCAAGCGCACGGACACATTCAACTTCGGCAGTGCGAGCTCAGACTACACCACCTTCGGCAGCGACGACTACGCAGACTACACCACCAACATCGGCAACGACAACAACTCAGACTTCACCTTCGCCAGCGCCAGCTCAAACTCCACATACACGTTCGGCAGCGACACCTCAGACTACATCAACTTCGGCAGCGACAGCTCAGACTACATCAATTTCGGCAGCGACAACTCGGACTACTACGAGCGCGACGTCGGCAACGTCGACATCAACGGCATGGCTTTGGAGGACGTCCTGGTAGATTTCGAGCCCCTCCAGTGCGACGAGGGCGTCGGCATCGGCGACCAGCAGCACGAGGGCGGGCAGGTGCAGATCTCGGATTTAGATCACTGGGAGGAGTTGGAGTTGGAGGATGTTGCAGCGCCAGCAGCAGCAGCAGTGCCAGCAGAGGAGGACCAGAGGCCACGACATGCTCGTCGTTCAGCTGGCCACGCTGCGCAGGCCAGGGCGGGCAAGGACAAGAAGATCAAGGAGGAGTTGCGGCGGCAGTTGAAGGTCAGGGCGGGGTGATTCGTGCAAGGGTCTGCCACTGTTCTCTCACTTCTCCAGCCTCGCCGACCCAAGCGTTAGGTTGGCGAGGCTGGAGGGTGAATAGTGGCAGCCCAGCGCGAGGCTTCCCGCCCAGTGAAGGATGAGAAGTCCAGCCATCAGTCCATCATCAGGAACGTGGCGGTCATGTGTCCAGGCGCGGCAATGATCACTGGGGCGCCAGCGGCTGCATTGGGCAGGAAGCGCAAGCTTCAGGCCACTCACGGATGCTCAAACACCCTGTACATACTCCCCTAAACACGTGTCAACACCAAACAAGATTTCAAAACAACGGGTCCCTGAGGCCGGCAGCTCGGGGGTGTTTGAGCTCCGCAGGCGAGCGATTTTCAGTTAGCAACGAGGGCAGTGTTCGCTAAATGCAAGACGAAGGTGCAGATGGGCGTTAACCAGAAGCGCATGCAGACGGTGGGCTGCGCAGTCATCAAGCTTCGTCAGCAGAGAGCTCTACAGCATTGCCTTCAGAAAGCTGCAGGTGCGAGTTGCAACGCCAACCACGTTGTCAACATGTCGGTAGCTCACATGTGGGACGAGGTGGAGGTGAAGCAGGCGTGGCGCCCATCACCGAAGTATCGCATCATGAGGAAGAACGTCCGCATGCCAACATTGATAGCACGCTCAACCATCAACATCTCCCTCGCCGACTTGTCTCGGAAGCGCCAGAAGATGTTCCAGCAGTATTGGCTATCTCAGCCCTCAGAGGTCAGTGGATCAAAGGCGCACGATCTACTTCCAGGCATCGAGCGGAGCATGCCCCCATCGGTTAACTTCAAGGACACGTCTCAGATCGTGGACACGCTTTCCAAGGTGTCGAGCCTGACGTTCATGCCCATGTGCGACAAGGCCAGCAGCAACGTATCCATATTGAAACAGTGGGCGCGGACCGAGATGGCTATCAAGCAGGAGTGCTCAGACTGCATCGGGAAGCGGCTACTCTTTTTTCCTGACACATGTGGTATACACTCTCACCACAGAGGCAAGCTCGCGGTCAAAGGGCTAAAGCCTCATACCATGAGGCACTACTCGATTGCGTCGATGTCGAGGTACAAAGGCAACCTCTCGCGTTGCATCAATGGCATCGAGCAGATCGTCCAGCAGAAACTTCATCGAGAAGTTGGCCCAGCCCCTCCGTGGCCCCACACGCTGGAGCAGGTTGCCGACATGTTCTACGACTTCAGGGCCGAACATCACAGACGACCAGGCAAAGCGGGCAAGGGCGACGGCAAGTCCCAGTACATCCAGGACGTGGACGCACTGGTCGCCATGGCCAACGGCAACCTCAGCGCCGACACTTGGGTCCACCACTGCTGGGACGCCGCGCGCGACCGACCGTGCTGCAAGAATCGAGCTGAGGCGGTGGAGAAGATGACCATTGCCACCGTGCACGCCATGTACGGGAGCTCCGACCCTCGCCCTGCGGAGTCTCGATGGACTCATACTGTGCCTGGCTTCAAGCGGACTTTGGTACGCAGACTTCTTCACAGAGTTGGCCTCGACTGCTTCGTTGATACAATTCCAGAGAAGGATCTCGAGGACGTCCAGGGGCTTGGTGTAGAGCAGGAGGGCTCCGACGACTACTTCAAGCACGTCATCCGCGTTCGGGCTAGGAAGGTCAGGGACTACTACGCCGACGACCGCAACATGCACCAGCTCGTCGTGTACGTCGCCATCCTCGACATCGCAGACGGCAATTTGCTTTACCCTCTTCTCGGGGATGCGATCGAGGCGAAGCCTGAGGATAAGAGCAAGTTAGACAAGCTTCTCGACGAGGACTCCGTGATTGGCAAGTTTGGCGAAGACATGCTAGATCTCATAGACAGGTGGAACACTGGGGACCCATCGAGGCGGCCTTGGATGTTGTTGGATATCTTGAATGCACCATTGGAGGACCAGAAGTTTTCGAGATGGGCGAGGGGGCAGATTCTCAAGACCAATTCGGTGATGGCCCGCAGGTACGAGACACGCTTCAGCACTTGGCCGTACAAGCTCTACCCCTTATCGCATGGCCGCGCTTCAGATGCTGACAGACAGAGGATTGCTCACGAAACACTTCAGGCACCTGACTACATGATCGACTGCTATACGAGAGGTATTCGCAATCTGTTCGCCACTGAGGACGCTTTGCAATCATTGCCGTGCCAATATGTGTTGGCTTCTGACTTTCGGGCGCACTGCTATGGGACGGACATGATCGAGAGGCTGAACTCGCAGTATACCGCCAATCATCCTATTCGAGCGCCAGGCCGAAACTCCATCAACGCTGAGCGCGAGCATTTCCTCGACCAGGTCAGCAACATTCACAAGTCGAACGGCGGCGACAAGCCGACTGCAATCGTCAGCTTGAAAGATTCGGCGTCGGAAGAAGTTATTTCGTGCATGCCTCTTCTGGGTGGCGCCCCTCTCGGATCTATGCCACTTCTTGCAGCTGTCGAAGATGCTCCCATGGCGCCTGGGCTTCATGCGATCGAAGATGCGCCCGCACTCTTGCCGCTCGAAGATGCGCCAGCACTGTTGCCGATCGAAGGTGCGATGCCAGCAGCGGCACCTGCGGCAGAGGGCAGGCACTTCGAGGAGGCCATCGTCGCTCGGATCCCGAACCCGAACCAGCTGCAGGGCGCCGCGGAGAAAGCTAAGAAGAGCGAAGGCAACAGACGTGGCCTTAGCGCATTCATGCTTGGACAAAACAAGTTCCTCGCAGATGCCAAGGCAGCGAAGGGCGCAGGGATGACGCAGGACGAGGTCGACCAGCACAGGGCCAGGTTCGCGGAGTTGTTTGCAGAGGCCGACCAGGATATCTACCAGGAGGCGTACGTCAACTGGCAGCACAGTGAACGACCAGCTCAGCAACAACGACAACAACTCCAACCATATCAGCTGTGGTGGGGCGGTGGTAGCCGCGCGAGCCCCTTCACGCCAGATGAGCTCTGCAACTACGTCTTGCAGCACGGATGGCCGAGCGATGCTATAGTATACGACACGGACGGGACGCAGAGGAGGACATCCGCTGACTTCCAGACCGACTTCAAGGACTCCGACACGTTGGATCCATGGGGGGCGGCGCGTTCAGCGAGGAACGCCGACAGGCGGAACTCTCGAGCCCCAGGTGCTTATGAGATTGTGGAGAAGGGGATCTACAACTTCCTTCTCTCCATTGGCGCTGGCAAGGACGAGGACGATGCATGGGACGTGATGTTGATCATATCTGGGCGAGCCGTTCACGGTGAGGGGTACATGAGGTTTGCGAGCCTCGTGTCGGACATCACGTTCAACCCACGCGTTTTCGACATTACGAAGAACGAGTTCGAGAAGCCTGAGGACATTGTGTCTCAGGAAGGCCGTTTAGCTAGGAACGATCACTGCCCAACTCGAAACCATTTGGGAGCTCAAACTGGTTTCATTTTAGGTTTTAGGGTTCCCAGCTGTTTTTTTTTCCAGGGGAAAGAGGGAGCCAGGATGCCAGGATAGTTCAGTTTCGGTTTCGATGTCGTTGGCGCTGGGGTGTTCGCGCTGTGAGGTTTAGCCTTCCAGGGACTGCTTCTTCTGGATGATGGGTCCCGTTCTCATGGGGTTTTTTTTAAGGACGGGGATCGTTCCTGGCACCAGGAGTTGGCGCTACCCTCCTACGTGAACATCGCTACTCGTCAGAACAGAGTCAGCAACAGGTACGGTGCCATCGATACGAACACCTCAGATGAATGGATCACGACGTTGATCGAACATTTGCAGCACATGGATTTGTATTCCGCGGAGTACGACATCTGCCACAATACTGGGACGCTGAGGAGATCGAAGATTTCTGGGCTGAAGTTCATCGGGCGCCTCTGGCAGCCGAACCAGCGGACGCCGTTGGTCTTTAAGAGTAAGGCCGAGCCGAAGCTTGCGGAGGACGACCCCTTCGGCGAAGCAGCTCAGGACAAAGCAGACCGAGCTTTGTCGAAGCCGAAGCCTCCGAGAGCTGGCCCAGGGCGAGGCGGCAGAGGGCGAGGACGAGGACCTGGGCGAGGGCGAGGGCGAGGTCGCGCCCACGCAGCGCTGGACAAGGACATCGAGATCATCGAGCCAGAGGTTTCCGAGGAGCCCTTGCCCATCGCAGATGCCTCAGATGATGAGGATGTGGTTGAACGTGGCTTCGACCTCGCAGACTCGGACTGCCAGTCGGAGATCACCGAGGTGGCAGAGCTCGAGGCCGACCACTTGGAGACGGACTTGCCAGCAGGCCTCGCTGCGCTTCAGGTTCCTGATCCAGTTCCACACGCAGTGGAGGAGCCCTGTTTTGAACCTAGTTACGACCCAGACGTCGAGCTGTCACCCGAAATGGCTGAGGCTGCATTCGGTTTTGTAGACAGTGTTTTAGATCAACCAGAAGGTGAAGGGTCCTCAGGGTCCTCAGGGTCAGCAGGGTCCTCAGGAGACCCGTCGCGACCTCCTCCTCCTCCTGAGCCGTGTGAGGTGCCTGGTCCTGCTCCGTTTCCTGTCCTGGACCCCTGGAATTATCTTGAGGGGCCGAGCCCACAAGATTATTTTTATCTGGGGGGCAGGCAAACCCTCCGTATTCAGCGTGGGCGCCCCAAGGGGTCGGTAACAATAACATGTTACCGACACCGTTCGTGCGCGATTTGTGTGCCTGAACATTTGTGCGGCTCCAACGCCGAGATCTGCGCTTGGGCGTTCGAGGTTGAGGAAACGCCTCCAGGCGCAGCAGCTGCAATCAATAAGCCGCTGGCTGCCCGCCACGTCCAGTCGGCACGAGACAAATGGAGCGCGAAAGCGCATAAGGCCAAAGCCAAGGCAAAGGCCTCGGCTAAGGAGCCAGCTTGAACTAAGCAGATGGCCAAGGTTAGTTGCGAACCCCGCCGACTCGCCAGGAAGAGGGTGGGGGGAGGAGGAGGAGGAGGAGGAGGAGGAGGAGGAGGAGGAGGTGGAGGAGGAGGAGGTGGAGGAGGAGAAGGGGGCGACGAGCAGGAGGAGACACCGGTACAAAAAGGAGACGACGACGGAGGTGGGGAGGAGGAGAAACCTAGTTGGAGGCGGGCGGGTTTGCACCGAACCTTGTCAAACAAGGGCCACAGCTAGCATCAGCTGAAGGCACGGCGTCTCTGTTTCTGGAGGGGGTGGGGAGTGAAGAGGAGGAAGGATGAGCAAAAGACGAAGGAGAAGGATCAGGGGAGGAGGAGGAGGAAGAGGATGAGAAGAAGGAGGAGGAGGAGGAAGAGAAGAGAAGGATGAGCATGAGGAGGAGGAGGAGGGGAGGAGGAGGAGAAGGAGGTGCAGGATGAGGAGGAGGATGAGGAGCAGGAGGAGGAGGAGGAGGAGGAGGAAGACCTCGCAGCCCTCGCAGCCCCTTGCGCCCTTGCAAGTACGGGCTGGCTCCAGCGCCGCTGGCTGAGCTGGACTTTCGGAAATAGAAAACAACATATACTTCGATCTGCGATCCGACACCGCCAGATATGCAGCAGCTTCTGGGCTCCTCTGGGGAACATGGCATAGCATAGCATTGGCATGAGCATAGAGGCACTGCAAGACGGCTCAGGATGCAACCGAACTAGGTTTCAACACGACCCGAAAGAACACGCCGCGATGCCGCCGCCCACTGGCCAAACAGGCGCCAAGAGGGCTAAAGATGCTTCCGCGACGATCCGAGCTTAGCCCAAGATGGCCCAAATGTTTTCATGAAATAGTGTCCAAGGCAGGGAGACAGAGACAGAGAGAAAGAGAGAGAGAGTCAGGGAACACCAAAACCAAGAGCTTTAAACCAAATGTGCGCGAACAACGCCCAAACGTATATTTAATCTCACAACCCCTCAAACAACGCCCAAAGGGTATCGCACTTGTCTGGGCACATACATCACACCACACACCAAACAACACACGCAACACACAATGCACTATTATCAAGCCATTTACACACCACACCCGCACCAACACACCACCACCATACACTGCACACGCGCACCACGCATCACACACCGCGCACACTTCACACCACACGTCGCGCCCACGCGCGACACACGGCACATGCCACACATCACAAACAAATACACACATAACAACACAAACTACATCACGCCAACGCGCAACCCCACGGACACGATTAGCACGCCGCACGGCACTCGCGCACCGCGCGCGGCGTTCACCAATATTACGTATTTTTGTGCAACACAACGGCGCGATCTCAATGTAATAGGCGCGCTAACATGCCATTCATGTGTGTACCGCCGATTCAGTAAACCAACATCCCGACTAGTTGATCCTATATGAATTTCACGATATAAAACCAGTCCGCGCACGAATAAACACGTCGCACCATCATTGCACACCGCGCACGAACACCACAACACACACACACAAGAAAGAACCAACACCTTACATGACCCTACAACGCAATCCACCAGCATGCATCATGCGTCGCACACAAAAGCAGCGGACCGCAGTCACACTACACAGGTGTATCACGCAACGCCTTGCACTACGAAAGCTAGACAGATCATGTACTCACATTACACAGCAACGCACACATAACATTCGCACGGCCAGACAGACGCATTGCCTCATACCGCCACCAACAACACGCGACCACGAAGCACGCCACCCCTTCTAGGGTGCACGAATCACCCAAGCTGCCTACCGCCCACACCCCAATTCCAACCAATCACAGCCGCTCTCCCCGCCAACCAGCCCAACCCATCCCGCCCTCCCCGTGGCGCCCCGCCAACCACGCGCAACCTGGCACCTGGCGCAACCCTGCACCGCGCGCACGCGCGTGCGCGCTCTCATCCCACCCATGTGTGCACGACCACTACCATTGCACCGCGCAGCGCCACGCCGCTTGCGCCACCCGCCCATGCACCTCGCCCGCCGCGAACACAACAGCCGACCCTCAATCTCACGCCAGACAACCACCACTATTTCTACGCGCGCCCACAAGAATACAACACGCCAGCCAGCACCAACGCCGCCACCAACAACTCCCTACTCAACCCAACCCAACGCAGCCATCATCACCAAAGGCGCACCAGCCGCCTGACACAACGACTGCGAAGCTCGCACTTACCAGAGCCAGGGTGGCGCGCGCCGCCATGCCCGACGATCAAGCAACGTGGCGTGCGCGATGGCGCGCCGACATGCCGCGACCTGCCCAGCAACCGCAGCGGCTCCGCGCGCAGCGCGCCTTCCCCTCTCGCCCGACGCAACCCCGCCCCGCCGCCACAACCACCACCACCACTCAGCACCAAACCAGCCTGGCTCTGTATCTTGAAGAAACGATTCACCTCCACCGCGCCATCGCCCCACCATCCACGCTCCGCCACCACCACCTATGCAACCACCCACGCGGCCCTCGCACGCTCGCACGTTCGCTCGCGCGCTCGCTCGCGCGCGCGCGCCCGCGCCTTCCCCCTGCATCAGCACGCGCGCCCATCTCAGAACAACCGAAACCGCTACGTGTCTACCCACTTTGGGAGCTGCGCTCCATCGCAAGTCATGCCGCTTCGTTTCACCTTGTCCAGCGCGCGCGCGCTCGGCCGCGCCAAAGAAGCCCCGTCCATCTCTCTCTCTCTCTCTCTCTCTCTTTCTGTCTACCCTGAACGTCGCCCTCTGCACCTTCGCCGCGCACCTGACCCCCCCCCCCCCCTCCGCCACCCCCCCCCCCCCCCCCCCCCATTCCCCTCCGCCACGCAAGCGCGCACGCGCCGCGCGCACGCGCGCGCTCGCGCACGCGCGCACCATCGCTGTCAACGCCGCCGCGCGCGCGCACGCACGAAAAAAACACATGCGCACGTGCCACCTTCATCTCGCCCCCAACCAACCCGCTTCCACAACGCGCCATCGCCACCTCCGACACTTTCGCAAACGCCATCTCCCGCCCGCCAGCGCACCCGCGCCGCCGCGCGCTGGCGCGCACGTGCGAACGCGCAAGCGCGCTCAAACGCGCAGACATGCGTACCACGCGCGCAAACATCCGCACGGACGCACAACTGCACAAACATACACGCACACGTGCACATGCGCACATTGCACCACACACGCACACACGCCACTGCACGCACGCAAGCCCCCACCTCCTTCCTTCCCACCCCCTCCTCTCCATTCACCGCCCCTTCCCCCTCCCCACGCGCGCACGCACGCGCACGCGCACGCACGCGCACGCCGCGCACGCCACCCATTTCACCCACCCACAACTGAACACACGCGACAACCACCACACACACATTCACGCGCACAAGCGCGCATCCATCGCCGCTTCGCCGCGCACCACCCGCGCACGTGCACGCATTGGCCCTCACTCACCGCCTTTACTTTCCTCCAGCGCGCACGCA